GGTTTTTTTTTTTTTTTTTTAACATCTCAGTTTTTGGGGTTGATTATGTACTCATTCAGCAAACCCAATTTGCGCTGAGATTCTAATTGAACAACTGTGTACGTGTCATTAATCATCATTACATGTGATCACAAACTTGACTGAGACTGAGCAAACTTGGAAAACTTTGGGCATATCACAGATATTCTTCCCTAGCAGAAGTAATATATTTATAACGCCTTGAAATAAAACTTTTAATATAGAACGATCACGCACGAAGCGATCATCAGAACGCGTAGGTTAGAGGGTGGTCGGTAGATCTAAAACTTCATTCACATGGGCAGCATGAGCGATCCCGCTTCTGACTGGCTGCATAGGATAAGTATCTTGTTTGTACATTGAAAAATTGTGTATATTAGATTTCCTGTTAAGAGAAGTAAGACCTGTCGACAATTAGGATACTGCGCCAGACAAACACAAATTTAGGAGAGAGAGATTTCCTTTTATGAGTTCACTTGTTTAATAGTGCATCATTTAATAGTATAATCAGTACCAGTCCACTTTAGCCTCCAGAGGAACTTTCGTCATTTATAAATTTTCAAACGATTATTTCATACATGGCGTCCTCGCGTTGAGGAAATTGCAAGAAAACTACGGCGAAGTTTTGGAAAGCAATATAGCCAATCGCTGTTCATCCTCAGCAAAAATTCATTGTACCGGTGTTGAACCAGTGACCCCAAGACGGTAGACAACTACTGCATTCCTGCGTCCTACCAACTGAGCTGTCGTAGTGTCGCACGAATACATGATGCAACCATCGACCGTTCAACCGTTGTCGTAGAGAGTATAGAAGTTTTAAGACATTTTTAATACATGTAACTCAGCTGAAAATCATTCAATCCAAAATCAAAACAGTTATTTTTAAATTAAATAATACGGAGGTAATGTCTGCTAAATTTTAGATCGATAGTTCTAACATTCGAACTACACGAATGATTTGTTTAATTACAGAGCATGTATGAAGACCCAATTACATAGAACGTTTGGGCACGTTGCAAATACTTGCTAATTTCTCAGCTAATTTTCAATCAAACCAAAAAAAATTATAGCTTTAACAGCAGTCATACAGGAACTTGACGTTCTACTTATAATCAGAAGAAAAGATCTTATATTCGAGCTGTACGAATTATTTAAGTATTACATTTACAGCGGTTTTCTACACGATTGGCTTAAAAAAACTCGCGCCACTTTTTCATCCAATCAGAAGTAAAACCAAACCCAATCGCAACTCTTTCTCACATGGACGTTTTGCCGCGCTTTGCGTCAGCTACGTGTAGTTACCTCGAGTTTTGATTGGCTCACTGGATTGTCCATGTTCTTGGTGATTGGCTACTGTGATTACTTTGGTTTTAGTTTTACGATACTCAGTTGAAAACCGCTCTATTTTATATCTTGTGTGTATAATAGTTATTTATTTATTTATTCATTCATTGGTTCGTTCGTTCATTCATTCATTCATTTATATATTGACGGCTTTAAAACCTGCTCACAGAGAGTTTAAACATGATTTAATATACACGTATTTTCAAGTCAAGAATAAAGAGAATCATGAACGAGAAGATAATGTTTCATTCAAAACTAAATTCTTGAAACTAACATTACAAAATCTGTTTATCCACTTTTATTTGCGATATTGTAAAGTATTTCAAAGACCGACTAACCATCAGCTCACTTTAAACAGTGCAACAAATGCGATGTATTTCATGAGGGGAAAATACTCTTGGTCTATTCACGTAAAACTATATCGCAACTGTTTACGTTCTTCACAGATGAATAAACTATTGCTGCTGTGTATCCTGGCCTGCCTTGTGCTCCTGGCCTCCTCCAAACCCCTCTTTGATGAACCAATCTCGAGTAGTGAGCGGCGTTCTGCGTGCGGTCCAGGCTGTCAAATCCTTACAGGCGTCAAGTTTGGTAACAGAAAGTTCGGCGGTCGGAGAAAGACTGGAAAATACTATTACAACCGCTTCAGGAATTCCCACAGAGAGTAAGTATTTTAATTTGCATCGGTCATTTCACTTGCTCAGCTGGAAAATCCTCGAAAATTTAAGCTGTTCAGTACGTCGTGTAGAATTCCGGTTTATCGGCAAAATTTTGCACACGTGTGTTGGATATATTACGTGAATCTACTTTCAAATTCTGCTTACTGGTAATTTTATGACCGTTGAGAAGAAGTGATGGTCAAAAAATGACGGATCCAAGTGTGATTGTCTAAAGTAGTTAAACGTTTCCTCGCTCGGCGTTGTCAGAAACGATGAAAATGATTGAGAACTAAAGGAAAGGTTAGAAAAGAGGCCGTGCAGCCGTTTTTCGTTTCTTATACTTGCTGACGGGAAATTAAGGCTGCTTACACTGTTCACAATGTACAAACAAGGTTTTCTCTTTTTGTCGTGAAATAAAGCTAAATAAAGACGCCATCGTGCAAAACGACACAGCCAATCACAGCGTGCGTTACATTATCACATTAATAATAATAATAATAATTCATTTGATAAAAATACATATCAAAAGTTACAAAGTAGAATTAGCTACAATATTTAATAGGCACTTACAATATCAAAAATTGACTAAAAATGCTAAATCAAAATTATGAAATAGACAAGACATTGGAACGTCTACATTGCTAATTTATGTCTAAAACTAAGTCTAAATTTTTATTGGCTATCCAGTCAAATTTAGATAATGATCTTATCTTCGCTAACAAAAAGCTTGACGCGTTATTCTCTATCTTAAAACAGGTTCGATTTTCCAGACGACGACGTCTATGATGACACTGAGTGAGAGACCACAACTCCATATTCCCTGCACGGGCTTCACTATCACGTATTTAACTCTGTAGAGTAGATCACTGCCACCTAGTGGGAATAAGTGTATATTGAAAATACTAACTGTTCACTATGCTACTAAATTTTATTTCAAGGAGGGAGATGCTTGTTGTAATAAAGGTCAATAAACGTTGTCTTTAATCGAGAAGTCTGCCTTTAAAATTATTTTCCAAGAAAGATCATGGCAAGAGTCTATGACGACTTTAAAACGCCTGGGTGTTTTTTTTTTGTTTATGTTTTTTTTTTTTTTTTTTTCGTTTTGCCCGATTTCAAGACTTCAGTAACTTTACTGCTGACGAATTGCTTGGTTGAGGGTAACAGTAACTGTCATTATAGGAAGCGATAAGTATTTGTTGGTCATTTCATAACTTTACTTAATTATCTAACAAATTAAAATGAATAGAAATTTTCAATGTTTTGTATCAGTTTTAATTTCTCACCTATTTTGTTTTCACAAATTAGCATATTTGGTAAAGTAGCTCGCTAGGTAACGCACTTCATAGAATAACAAGTTAAAATCCAGGAAAAAAATAAGCACGCATTGAAAAAAGAAAAACCGTCGAAGTTTAAGAAAGTAACCCTAGAGCATTACAATGATTTTGTGCCGCCCAATAGGGAGAGAGCAAAAACTTTTGCTTACATTCTAGGGAGTAAAAATCTTATCTTTTTTTTCTCATAAGGGGGAAAGAAAAACTAGTTTTCTCTGAAAACTAATTATCTCTATGGATGAACACTAAGAAAGACCTATTTATCACAAACATTGAAGGGAGAGAATTAGCAAAAAAAAACGAAAGAAATTTCAGTTAAATACCGTGTATCAATTGCTTTTCAGAACTTCCTTTATCATATTTGATTGAACCCAAAGAGGACATCCACATATCTGGTTACACCATCTCAAGATATTGAACGTCAATTCTGGAAAGTCACGTCGTAAAATAATAAAATATAGACAGTAAATATCTCTATAAACAACACATGTATCGCCTAGTTAACCTTGATATTTTTGGAATCGTCTTCCGTATCGAAACTGGAAGTCAATTGCCGTTAAACGTCTTCCTTATCGAAACTAGAAGTGAATTGCTGCTAAACTGACAAATTAAGTTCACACAGTCAATGGTGTCATTTCCGAGGTAGTTAATTTCTTGGATCATTTGCTTCACGCCTCGGGCACTGTGTGTTGAAATTACAAGCCATTAGTAGGCGGCGCGCGGAAATGTGGTCGCTTCCCATTTTACAACGCTAGGGACAGGTGGAGAAACGCTAAACGAAATTAACTGTCCGTCTATCATACCTTAATTTACTTGGCTAAATGCAATTTTCTCTCACAAAGACGTTTTCTTTGACATTCAACTGGGATGTAAAATAACTGACAAAACAATAGGTCCTAAACCTGTCTAGATTTACGGTACAAGTCAGAGCTGCAAACACGCACATCTATGCACCGCCTCGGTATTGTTTTTGTTTTTAGACATGCAATCTTTGGGTTTGTTAATTATGTATTTTGTTTTTCTCTTGAGGGTTAAGGCACACGCAGATTATCTACCCAAAACATAAAGAAGAATCTGCTGGTTGCCTCAAATGGTATCAGCATCACGTAACTAAAATAAAGACACTCACGTCGATTTAATAGTATAGTTGTTTGCGTAATGCAAGCCTAAAATGTTACAAGGTTCATTGTTAAATTGAAAATATCCAAACGTTATCACTTTTCTTAATCCTGCAGCAAAACTGAGTCTTATCTGAATGATTTCTCTTTTGTAAAAATGGAATTATGGTTTCGCTGTGAAGTGTTTCTTGTATACGACCCGTTAAAATTTCCCCAAAATTTGGCAAAAAAATGTCCTCTTTTCAAGGTTCTGTCTTTAAATTAGAGATTCTACCCTTTCAATCAATGAAAATCAAAAATGGTTACATTTTACAATGTATGCGAACGATCAGATTGTCTATTAGAAAAATCTCTCGGGTATAATGATTTTATTGTTGATTACACTTGCTTTTGCCGGCCTATCCAAAATGAAGTAAGTATTCCCCGAACAGGCCACAGAAAGTTTTTTTTTGAGCAACTAGACGAAGTCTCTGACACATTTTACGAATCAGAGTTGTATTGTATTATTGAATTTTGTCTCAGTTTTATGGCTGCGATTTCTGGATTAACTATTAATAAAACTGAGTACGCAATGATAAAAGGCGAATGAAATCTCTATTTTTGGTTGAATTTTTTTCCAGTTTCACTTTAACAAGTCCTAGATCTAGATTAGCGAGTGTTACTTTCTGTTCTATATTTTTGTAAGTTGCAAAATGGTGTTTTGCAGATTTACTTCGCCTTGATCAACAATTTGTGCTAGGTCAACAACGTAAATATTTTAGTGTTTAAGGAAGAGCCAATCAAAAGAGGCTGAACGGATGGAAATGTAAAATCTAATCTAACGGAGTAATTACTTCTGATCGATGTTCGTGAAAACAGTTTAACCGTAGATCACGCTTGTTGAAGCATAAGCACTGACCAAATACACCATAACCGTAACAGATTTGTAATCAATTAGCAGTAATCAACGAATTTTCGAGAGAACATGTCACAGTAGCGTGGTTTCCCTTAAAATAATTGAGCTGCGTGTCGTTTTAGTAAACAAAGTCTATATCATTTCATTTCCTGTACTAGATGTTCTCGTTCATTTCGGTTTTGCCTCGGGCTGTTTAGGAACTTCAAACACGTTTTCACTCAAGATAAGTACGGCGCAACAATTGAAACAACTCTTATGGTGGTTATTGGAGATTTCTTAGGAGGAAATCACCTTTGTCGATATTCCATTAAGTTACTCAGCACCCGTATTGAGCACGTAATTATATTTATCGACCAATGAAAGCACATCTTTTGGTCGATTCATTTTAGTTAACGTAGTTTGCCGGTAAAACAAGGCGCTTCTCCATTTTGTATCGTCTTCAAAAGCAATAATATAATAAAAGCGCTTTCAATGACGAAGTGATATTCATTTCCGCTGCTCTAATCTATGCGGGAAAATTGTTTAAAGCCAGGTCAAAATGAACCGATTTTTATTGCCCGTTTTGGCATACAGCGGCTGCTAGTTTCACCTCATTGCAGTTTGTCTTGGACCGCGCATTAAAGTAAGTATGAAATTTAATTTATTTAAACATAATGAACTTTAGCTTGCTAACTCAAACTGGAATTTAACTGACTTGAATTTGTGTATCATCTCATTTCAACATTTGTTATATGAAATCAAGTTTTATGAAAGTGTCCCTTAACTCTTTTAATTAATTTACACTATGACGCTAAAATGAGTCGTGAAGATGGCAAAGTTAAAATGTAAAAATGTCGTATGTAGGTCTCTATATAAAACAGTTTTGTAGTGAAAAGTACCGAAAACTTTTAAAGATTGATGTGATCTCAGACAGGGTTTTCTTAAAGCCGAAAATACACTCAAGATGTTGATTTTGATTAATCTTGAAGATATTTTTAGATAAATAAGCTTTTCTTTCATTCTAATCCATTGATCACGTTCGCAAATGAAATTACTTAGGAAAATTGTCGTAGCCAACGTCGGAAATCAATCAGGGTTTGTGAGTAGAATAATGACAACAAAACGATTTACTGCTGAGAATTTCGCCAAGTTATTTAAGTAACTCCATGACTAAATTTCCTGAAAAAAACTTTAGCGCAAGGCTCTCAAAAGAAGTTAAAGAGCTATCAAAAGACATCCATAACTAGCAATTTCCTCATCCATATTGCCTGAATATGTTGGCCAAACTGAAAAGGAAAGATACTATAGAAGCGTTTGCAGATGGCTCGACGAGAAGTAAACACGCTTAGCTTGACGAACAGCCATTGTATGAAGGAAGTTGATTAGCACGTACTACTACGTAAAAGATAAGTTATTTAACCCGTGAACGGCAAACAGGGCTAAAAACTATTATAACTACTTGAAGTTTTTTGACTGTTCGAGTGTTGGTTGGTGATCGTCAATCGAGTCCCTAATGCAGAGCTTTAAGAGTATATGAGGGCAAGATGTCACATCACGGCTGGAAACAACTGAGTGTTCGTCTGGCTACACAGTTCGTATGGTTATAAATAGAGGGAAAACACTAAATGGAGGGATGGGCTGTTGCAATGAGGAAAATTTAATTCGCGCATGCTTCAGCAGGAGACGGACACTGACCTAGAAATGTTGTACTGTGAACGACTTCATAAGGAAGGTCGAGGAAGGCCATTTTGTGTATATGACTAATTTGAAAGCGTATAAAATTAGAAACAAAATCAATAATTAACAAACGGAAATCACCAGATATTTGCTAATTATTTCTCAAAGTCTTACAATAAGGTAAAATACAATTTTGCAAACAAATAAAAATTTCCTATATTTTAAATTTCTCGTATATCACGCCAGCAGGCGAAAATAAAACCATCAGGGTGTCAACCCGACACTGTCTGTTCCGCGTCAAGTCCTTTCTCTTTCTCTTTCCCACGTCTCTTCTGGTTATTCTAAAATGTTATCTGTTTTGCTTTCCCATGATACTCGTCTTTTCGATGCTCTGTCTCTACTCTTGCGCTCTCCATTTTCAGTTTTCTCTTTCCTTTTATTGATTTTTTTCCATGTCTTGTCCTTTATCCATGGCTTGGTCTCCTTTGCTGTTTTCCCAGTCATTGTGGCCTCTCTATACTTCTCCATAATTTTATTCTGTTAGTTCTTCCTCTTGATCTTAGCTTTCATATATATCTCGTAACGCCTCGAACTTGTTCTTCACCTCGACATTCAATCTTCTCTTTATCTCTTCACTTTGCAGCTTGCGCACATAACACCAGCCCCGCCCCCCACCCTACCCCCATCTCTCCCTCCTCTCAGACGCGGCCAGCTTTACTGTAGTCCTATTCTGCTTTAGAAAAGATCAAGGTCACTTAAGAAAGTCTGATTCTCTCATCATTCTGTGTCCAGCACTGTTTTTTCTCTTGCTAACATTCGCCGTCAAATGGTCAATTCAGCCTTGACTAGTATTTCTTCATTATAATTAACGACTCCAACTAAACACCATCAGTTCTTCACTGTTTGAAAAACGATTTGAGAAAAAGAAATAGGCGTTTGTCCAAATAAACAAGAAGAGCATCAAGGCTTTTATTTTCCAGAGGACGGTGCGATCAAAGAAATGTTTGAAAGCATGTCACATTTCAACTCATGCCGGGAGTGTCGTGTTTAATTCTTTGGCACGTCGCTTTCAAAGATGTAGCCAGGTCTCCAATCAGGAGCTGAAATGGGTATCGGCACAGTGATACTGAAAATGCTGGGTGTTTATATATCTGCAGTAAACTGCACCTCATCCAGGTGCATGTTGCATGGGAAACCGACTTGAGTAACGGTGGTCACGACCCGTTCTGTCTGAAGGCAGACTGTACTTCTTGTAGGCATTAACATAGATTAACATAGAAATCTTCGCGCGTAAAAGTAATTGAGTTCTGTTTTGTTTTCTCGTAGGGAGATAAAATATGGGAGCCTGGCCGTTTGTTTTTCTGGGGATTTCTATAGCGGTGGTGAGTATAACAGGAGCACCGCTAGGAGAAGAAAACACAAAGCCTTGTTTATCGTGGGATTGTGCTCGAAAACGAGCACTTGAATTATCCAATCTCGTCAAAGACGACGACGAGAACCCATGCATTTCCTGGGAATGCAAACGAGACCTGATACTACGCAAAAAGTTCCTGAACGCTATCAGAGCCGCCGAGTCCGCGAACAAGAAGTCCAGCGTAACTGAAGAAGAGGAATGCCTCTCGTGGGATTGCAGACGAAAACGACGGGCAGCAGTTGAAATGCCGACAAACATTACACCAGAACCTCCCGCCGGTGACACGCCTTGCCTCACAAGTGACTGCCGAACCGGAAAACGAAGCATTGAAGATCCCTCTCTCATGAAAAGGCTCCGTCTCACTCGTGCGAACGCTGACCCACAAAATGATCCAGCTTGCTTAGCTTGGCACTGCATGACTGGATAAGCAGATAGCCAAACAGTATTTAGGTAGGTAAGGATAACATTGATATATTTTTTCAAGAATCTGAAATTGCACGATTAGATTTTTGTTGTTATTCCATGCCTGGTTTCACTGCTGAACGTAAGGTTTAGCTTAATCCGGGGGGGTACTCCCAGAAAAATCGGTTGGGAGTGTGCGGCCCGCTTCCCAAAACCCTTACCCTATTTATAAACAAAATCTGCGACCTACCCTATTTATGACCTAGCCAAATATTCGAAACGCTATTTATGACCAACCCTTAAATCAAAACCCTGTTTCAGACCTTCGTTATAATTAGTTCCATAGTTCAGACCAATGTTGAATTACCGTTTACATAATTTGTGAAGGGATTTTGTTGATTTTCTTTTCGATAATGATGAAAAAGTGGCTTCTTAAAACATACCCATATCAAGGCTAGAGTGCGATACCTTATTTATGACCAAAACAGCTGAAAAACCATACCCTTTGGGATCGCACATACCTATGCACCCATATAAGGGAGTCCCCTCCCCCCCCCCCCCCGCCCCCTTCCTGAAGATCCCAGCTACGTTACGTAATACGGGCACCATTTTCATTGTACGTTGTCGCGCAACAATGTTACATTGCAAGTTAACAAGCACTTGTTACTTGTATTACCACCTAGTTTGCAAGTTGCAACATGTTGCAGAAGGCAGGATTCTTGTCTACTTTGCACGACAACCTACAACACAGATGATAATACGGGCAACAAGGCTTCACCTTGCAATGCAACATTGTTGCGCGGCAAGTTGAAAGGAAAATGTTGCCCGTCTTACTTGGTCTTTCAGTAACCTCTCAGTATAAGATTCTCAGGGGTAGCCTTATGCTCCATTAAGCAACAAGGGGTTTTAAGAGAGTTGTCTAAACGGGCTACTCACTGTTCAGTTTTTAATTGAATTTACGACCTGAACTAAGAAATTTAATTGAAAATTGAATACTCGCAATTACAATCTAGTTGGGTAGGATGAGAGCAAATAAATGAATGAGAAGGATGGGCAGTTTACCTGTAACTCTTTGTCTCCTGTTATGACTACACGTGTTTAGCGCTAGTGTTTTGCAGGTCATGCATACAGTTATAACAGGAGACACAGAGTTATAAGTTGTTTCCATTCTGTTATTTACTCTCATCTTACCAATCCAGAATGTGCTCCCTGTCCACATTTAAACATGACAATAGCTCTAATGTCGTTTTGAAGTCTATTTTTCGCGCTCAGAAAGCTACTGAAATAAGTTAAGCCGAGCTCCAATTTAAGGCCGGTGTCATTTACCGCGAGCTAAGTTCTCGATGCTAACGTTCAGACAACTAGGTTGCTATAGCAATAGCCTTCCTTTCCTTTGTAGTATTTACGTATATATGACATCTAACACTTCATGACTGTTCACCATGGGACCAGTCATTAAGTGATTTGTTATATAGCAAAACAAATGGGTCAAACCGGTGGAAAACAAATAATCACTTTACTGACAAATGACGTGCAACAGCGGTCAACAATTCGCGGATAAAAATGAACTGTTTCCCGTTTGACGTCATAGTTTTCGCAATGTTGCCCGCTCATGGCATTTGGCGGGAAACAGTTTCATTGTTAGATGTCATGTGACCATGAACTAGCCAAAGAATGGGTGCGCTCTAGCGGGAAAAACGCCAGCTATATAACAACAAACCCTGTAGCAGGTTATGGTGACAAATTAACGAAACATTGTAGTACATGAGTCATTAACATATCAGTTGTACTTTTTTTTACGATCCACAGAGATGAAGACAACTGACTTGGCCGACTAAACTTTACTTCAAATGATCCTATAGAATTTTTGCTCGCGGACTATTCGTCTCCACAAAATAAATTATCACATAAGCAAGACTAGAAATTTGCTCCAAAAATAAAAGCAAAATGTAAATTGTTCTTTGTAAATTTAATCTTAACTTAGCTTTAAGGTTGAAAGTGTTGAAAATACTTTAGTTGCACTTATAAATATCTATAAATACATTTTGACTCTAATGAAAAACTGCTCTTGGGTGCGTGTGTTTTCTTTAGGGGATAACTGATGGGGTGTTGTGGGACTGGTAACGAGAGGCAATGCAAGAGGGCAAAATAAAAGAAACCTGGAAAAGACGAGTAGAAATACTCTTCCCTAATAACTGCTTTTGTAAAAGTAATAAACAACAAAACAAAAAAACAAAAAAAGAAAAGAGATTCAGAAATTAGCTAGGGGTATTCATCTGTCACCATCCATAATACAAAAAAACTGAAAATAATCCGACAAAATCCAATAAACAAAACCCACATCAAAACACAAGTGTACCAACAATAGTTTCTTCAAGTACACGAAACACATGGCTAGGTATTTTGACTGGCGTGCGAAGATAACACAGACCATACTTGGTAGATCCGGTTCAGCTCGTCTGTATCGCACGCTCTCCGCACGACTTGTGAACCCATTAGTTCCATAGTTTACCCGCGCACGACTTTTCTGCGACAATACGCAGGCTATTTTTTAGATTTGATTTCAGTCACGTCTCCGTAAACGTATACAGTTTTTCCTCGTGCACGCGGAACTGATGAATGGTTGCGGATCTGTCCAAACGAGAACAATACACGGAATATTAAAAGCTCAAATCTCTGGTAAGATAATGACATTAAAAATCTCCTACGCTGAGAATGCATTGTGAGGTCAGCGCTTGCAACCGTAGAAGATGTTGTCTGAAGTTTATGTACATGTCAGAATTCTCTTTCACGATAGGAAAATAAAACGAGTTCTACCTTTCTACATTAGCGTCTGAGTATACTATAAAAGAAGCTATAATACGGGGCTTAATCCGAAGAAGTTATATCTTCCTTTGCTACATCTAAATAAAATCCTCAATGGAAATCCTTGATTTTGATTGGTTCTCTACTATTTGATTATTCGCCAATAGACCACCGTCACGCGTGCGCTCCTTGGTAAGAAACCGATTTTTAAATCTTTATGTCTTGAAAATATGGAAGGGCCGCAGCCAGGATAAAACATGGTAAAAATTTAAAAACGATCTCTGGCTGAAACGATTAAAAAATTACAAGCTTTCGACTGCCTGAACCACCGTCTTCGACGGGTAACTGAATGTGCATGGCAAGAAGCTTCACTGATAATGAATGGTTGAAAACAAGAGAAGATTAAGACAGGCGCACTTTTGTCTTTTCTTGTTGAAAGTGCATCTGTTCTCTGGACAGAAACGGGTTGCTGTTTATACTTATGCACAGTAATAGCATAGAGTATTTAGGTGCTGGTATTAATAATATATTTTTTCAGTTTATTTCATTTACTCATGGGGAGACAGCGTGATGATGCTAGCTGCCAAACTAAATTGAGCAATTTTCTTTCTTGAACAAGACACTTGGTTTAACATCATTAGGGTCCAACTTGAAAAGGAACTGTTATCAGTAAGCTTCAAAAGGCTTGACGTTTTTACTTGCATTATATTGAGTTAGGTCATCTGAACGCCAGAGTTCAGTCTTAATAAGCCTCGCCCAAGATGTACAACTGCTGCTATTAGTGTTGATACAATTTGTACCATTCAGTTGGTACAATTTCGTATCACTGACAACGGACTAAGTTATGATTCGAATAGTACATCGATAAGACGGACTGGTATGGAAAAAGCCATCATGACAAGAATCTCCAATTTTACATTTTGGTAATTGAAATCTTATTCGGCAATTGAACTTTCAAAAAAACAACCGACAACATCAAAATGAACAATTTTAGATAATCAGGAAAGGAAAAAATCCAACCAGTTTGTGTTAATTCAAGGAAATTATGAGTTGAACTGAGAAAAAGCATAAAGAGAGATCTGCAAACAAATTTCCTCGCTCTGGAAAATAACTTTTCCATAAGGTTTCTTCCGGATTTCAAACTTTATGGATCATTACTCCATAAAAGCAAATTCTTTGGATAGATAAACCTTTTTCATTTAAAATTTATGTGCTCAGTCTCTTTTCCAAGATTCTAGATTTGTTACCAGCCCCGGAGAGATTTCAATTTAGTATTTTCGTTAGTTCAAAAATTATTTTTATCAAAACGTCATGCTGCGAATGTTAGAGACGATTGTAATAACCAGTTTCAATTGGATCTCACTGCTTATAAGTTGTAGTAACCAAAGATGGGGAAACGTACATGTCTTTATCCAGCTAAGAAAGCCTAAAAAACTGTGACATACAGTATGTACTACATGTGAAAGCTTGCAATGGGGACCTGTTCAACAAAGAACGTTTAAGACAATTCTCTCGATATCTCGCAAGATGGGGCCAAAATTAAACAATTGTTTATATCAAAATATAACTTAATTAAAACAATTACACATTTCCGTGGAGGTCGCTTTCAATCTTAAAACTTTTACAGGAGTGAGTGCTTTGCTTGATTGAATGTTAAACACAAATCGGAAGTTTCAAGTTGACGACATAACACCGTACAGATGACCCTATTACAAAAACCTGCTCACAACAATGTTTGGAAACATTACTAAAACTCAATAGGAAATATCATGCCTTGAACTGTTTGATTACATCGTCTCTTTTCAATTTGGTAACGCGCAACACAGCATGAAACTCCACTTCCGTGTTTATGTCCACCTCTGGTCCGCCCCAAATAAAATGTTCAGCCGATTAGATCGTTATGGCAAGCGGAGATTGGTGAAATAATTTCCGTTAGGTTAATTGCATTTACATCTCGTTTAACATAATAAAAATCGCTTAAAAGGGGGACAGTTTCTTCAGAATCCGGCGTCCTGCGTGAAGGGAAGAAGCTTAGAGAAGAGAAAAGGCAAGATTTTAGCAACAAAGGTAGGGCGCACGTATTTTGTCTAACCTTCTTTTAAGCCATTCACTATTTTCTTAACTTCCTCGAGTTCTTTGTTTAATTTTCTTTGTTCGGCCAGTATTCCACTCGTTTAAAGTTCTTTTCAATTTCCTATTAAAGTAAACTTGGCAGAAAAAAAACGCCCCAAGCACGAGAAGCAGAATCTGTCTGATTCGTAACGACTGATTCCCAGATGAAAAAAATTGACTGTTTATTTTACGAAATTCCGGGTGTACCTCTGTTGTTCTGTATATTTTTTCAACGCAGCAAACTCATTTTGTTTTATTATTCGCTGACTCAGTTATACGCAATACGATATTATTCAGTAGACCATGTATTTGTCTTGTACGAGTGCGCGAGCCGGAAAAACGTTTCCAAACGAACAGGCATTGTTAGCCAAGAAACCTTTGTTTCCTAAAAATGCTCTGAAAAAAATTGATAAATTTTACAAGTGTTTGAAACTAACTTTGATCATCAAATGGAATAGTTTCGTCATTGTAAAGTTATCTTCATTTGTATATTTACAACAATTACCATTTTCATGACGAGCGCAATGTATGTACGTTGTTAGATTTAGGCCACTTCCGAGGTTACCTTTTGCCTCTGTTTCAAAACGAGTCTTTGTGCAAAACCTTTCAAATGAAAATGAGTTTGATTTGCTTGAAAATGAACTTGTTGGCAGTTAACAAATCAAATGTTGTTTAGCGTTGTCTGTACTCTTATCGACAACGATATGCGTCATCACAGTAGTCAAAATGTTGTAGACTCACGAGGCGCAGTCGAGTGAGTCCACAGCAAATTTTGACCACTGTGATGACGCATATCGTCGTCCATAAGAGTACAGACCACGTTAAACCACATTCGATTTGTTTTTTTTACCACAATTTCAACGTCAAAGAAAAAGTTTTTCTTCAGCGCACGAGCTGAAAAAGTCATTGCGTGACACATTGACGCGGGCGGGAGTTGTCTGGACTCTTCTCGACAACAGCAAATTAGCCAATCAGATTGCGAGATTAGTAGCAATTGTGGTAAAAAACACATTTCATGTGAATGGTTTCCCACGTAGATTCGTTTGACATTAAGGCACAAGGTAACTCGGAAATGACCTATTAAGCACCTAAAAGACAAATATAAAAATTGTCATCCGCAGATGTGTCGTCACAGTCTTCAAGCCATGTTTATAGCTCTATTCGTTCTGGTGATGATTTCAGCATCAATGTCCCTTCCAGTCGATTACCAACCTTATTATGACAGTTACCAGCCTCGAGACCTCGGTAAGGACAAAAGAGAGCCAGACCCACCAGGGCCGTCTTCACAGAGCCGGCCTCGACACGGAAGGCGAGGTTACTCTGACTCAGCTTACGTGTACGGAGCGGACAGGCAACAAAGGCGAAAAGTACCAGATAGCTACTACGAACCAATCAGCGTGTAGCATCACCTGATTTGAATTGTACAGCAAAGGACGTAGACTCTTGAATCAATATTAAATATAAGGCTTATCGCTTTCAATGTATAACTTCATTAAAAGTGTTTAGTTTCCCTGGTAAATGCATCGCCCATACATTCTTTTAACCTCTTTCGTTTCACATAAAATAATTAAACATCGAAAGAGAGCTGAAACTATCGATATGGAACTAAATCAGCCCCGGTCTTTGACTAAATGCCAAAGTTTTTCGAACCAATGAAAGCGATACATTAACAGTCACGTGATTTACATGCACCGGTAACGTTAGCGGGCTTTCTTTGTATTTGTATTCAATAATCTCGGGAGAAAATGATTTTGTGTTCCCTCAGTCTTTGTAGAACCAGATTGCTGGTTATTTATTTCTTGTACTCGATTTTCTGCGGCACTAGACTAAAAAAAGCTGAACGAAGGGAAAAAACGCAGGCGCATTCTGTCGCAAACTTGACTGTATCTCGTTCCATGTACATGTTCATGTAATGCGCCTTTGAGAGACAGGTTGCACGAGGCGTTGCATAGTGTATGTAATCACGCCCTGAATTGTCTCCCAACTTTCTCGATGCAACATTATAAAGCATTGCACATGGTAAAATTAGCTTCTAATTTTCGCATCGCCGGCTGCAACGAAAGCTTTCCGAAATAATATATATTTCAGGGGAGTTACACTTTATGGACTATGCAACATCTAGCGCAAATTGTCTGGCAACCGCGAAGCAAAGTGCACGACAAGTTACGCAAAACATTGAGAAGTAAAGGCTTCTACATTACGGGATTCCCTGATAAGAAAAAAAGAGAGCGAAATTTCTAGAAAACTACTCATTCATTCACTTCTTGGCCTTGATGTTGCGTCACGGTAGCACATCAACTTGAGGCCATCTTGCTTTAGCTTTCTCAGAAATGGTTTTCTTCCATACAGGCGCCTTTTCGGCATGTTATGAACAAATGGATCAATAGAAGCCGATGTAAAACCAGTTCAAAACCAGAATCAAAGGACGTCAACAAGCAACTGTGAATGACACTTTCGTCTTTTTTTTTGGGGGGGGGGGGGGTGGGGGAGAGGGGTAATTTTGTATTCTTTGGTAATGAAAGCAAAATTACTATCATTATAGCTTTTCATGACATCTGTGATCAGTTACTGAAAAGACGCACGGTTACATGATCCCCGCCACAGCAAATAAGTAGCCTTAACAACCTTGAGGGTCAACCTCCACTTCAGATAGTCATAATTTCACACACATCGTTTACGGAGAGTAATCTATAAAACTACCTTTACGTGAAGCAGAACCAACGGTCACTTTATTTGGATTTACTTATTTACACTTTTACTTGAGGAAGTTGGATCGACTACAACATACAAAAATAACTTGACGAAATGTAATATTTACAACCATGTAATTTACGTCTAAATACAACATGTTACAACTCACATGGAGCTCACATGTACGACTTGCCATGACGTTAGAGACACCAAACATCTCTACTCGCATGCTAACTAGATTCCACCATAGTTAATAAAGGGAAGTGGTTAGGAAACCGGGAAAAGTTCTTTGCTGTATGTTTTCGTTGGCTATTTGGGGGTTGACCCTACACAAAACCGCGCAAAAAAAAAAAACAAAACAAAAACAAAAACTGAAAACAAAAAGTGGCTATGTGAGCTCATACAAATAGCCAATGGAAGCATTGCGATTAAGCATAGTCTATGAGCATAAAACAAGATGTGCAGAGTCAAGGACCTTCCGACATAAATCTCAGCCTGTTTGTTTACTTCTTTGATATTTACCGGCCTTCCTAACCATTTTCCTCTATTAACTATGATACCACACTGATGAAGTACCTCTTCTAGCATTCGCGTAGTCTAATTGGTTATTACTTGCACGTGGAATAGACTTTTCGATATATTAAATTCAGTTTGGCGGTGAAGCCTAGAGGACACAAACAAAGGGAATTGAAAAGTATGTTTGTTCATTTCTTTTGTTTGTGTCCTCTAGGCCTCACTATTAAGCAGAATTTTAATATATCGAAAGTGACCTGTTAAATAACAGATAATGAGAGACTACTTAAACAACTGCAGCCCGACTCAGGCACCTTGCACGCGCACCCTTTCTCAATTTTTTGTTCCCCCCATTTTTTGGTTTTGTTCAACTTGTTAATTTTCTTGTTCTGCAATGTCCAATAACTCTATTAAAAAGTGCCACTTCATCAGTATGTAATTCTTCAAAGCAAATTTCAGAGGCCTAACTTGCAAGGTACGAATTGAAAGTGAAACAAGAGATGTTTTCTCGGGCTAGCTATGGGAAGGTCTGCGTTTTGAAGTCCAGTCTAAAAATTGAAAATAAAACCACAAATCGTTTCAGCCCTGGAGATAAGTACCAGCTAACTTGTTTTCAGGATATCTGGCAAACTAAAGAAGTCATGTTTAGTTACGAGAGTAAAAAAAATTGAGTACAGTTAGACCCCGCTAATTCGAACTCGGTTATTTCCAATTCCCCGTTATTTCGAACTCAACACCTTTTCCCTTGGATTAACCCTTCAGTCATTTACTATCCACTATTTCAAACTCCTGCTATTTCGAACTATTTTTCGCTTCCCCTGAGAGTTTGAAATAGCGAGGTTCAACTGTATCTTGAAAAAATATCAACCTCTCTAAAACAATACAACAAGAAACAAATGTAGATTACTTAGCAATAGAATTCTGATTCACATCCAGGCCTGAAAGATGTAATAAGGACTAGGATTATTTCTTCTGGATTTGTAGTAATTGGTGTGTTAAGTACTTAGTTTACTAATTAATTAACTGATACCTAGCTTATTTTTAACCGAAAAAACAAAACAAATATAATTAAATAGCATTTCTGAACAAGGCATGAATACATGTCCATACACTGATATAGCACATGTAAACAGCCAAGCAGATGATGAAAGCAAAAAATAGCAACACAACTAAAATTGTACATGTATCAAGATGTCTTCGTACTAGGGCTATAAAAAAAACAGACCACTGAAGAATGCATGTATGTCAACAGAGACTACAAAAAAGCAAGTCAAATGTGTTTAAGTTCACTTTACTATACCTGGCGTTCTGTGTGAGTGTCACAACTGTCTAGCAGGATAGCTCATTACAATCTAAAGAGTAAACATTTCTGACTCTGTTATACGACTCACTTTTGATCAGTTTGCCACTGATGAACTGAACATTCAAGCAAAGACCAATCAACTGTTGCATCGAAACAAACCCATCACAATTCTTGATGGGCATTTTAGCTAGCCAATTTTCATCATTAAACAAACAGTGTTTAAGCATAACACACACAATGCTGGCGTGTTATAAGTGTTCTGTTCTAGTTTGTCATGAGTGGTCAAGACTGTTCAACTTAGCACTTTACAGTGTACATGTACATGTATAATGAAGAAAAAAAACACAATTCAAAAACCTGAGAAGCCAGACAGCATTTGAATAAGGTAAGACAAAAATTCATTGCACAAGAACATCTGAGTTGAGTTAATATTTTTATAGGAGGTGCACTGAGTCATTACTCAATGACATCCTTTACTCTCCCCCACAGGAAAATTCAGACACACAAAAACTTCACCTTCCTGAACAAATAGACTTCCACTTCCTCTCAATTATGTACATGACTTACGAGCCAAGTTTAATTTTTTTTCTTTTCCTCTTTTCAGAAATGGCAAGGAACCTCATTTTGCACTTGTTGTGTCCATTAGTCCTTGCAGAAAATTAAGACACCATTACCTTAGATATCCAATAATGTACTATGCATCTTGCAGGCTACTCAACCTAACCTATGGAGTCTGTATAAAGCAAGTACATGTTTTTCATAACTTGCTAAGCTCACACTTGCAATTAAAAATTTATTAAGTGTGGTTTAACACTCACCACTTAAAGTGGACATGCTAATTTTATGTATGATTGATCTGTATTCAAAACTATTGTACAGTATGTATTCTGTCATGCAGTAATTCTCTTTGCAACAAAGTACCATAATGGCCCTTGTTAATATAGGCCTTTTCGAACCACTACCACTAAAGGAGACTGCAGCCCTTCTGTGGTTTAGAGAAAAACAAGACTACTATTACATCAGAGCTGTACTGCTAACTGCAGCTATTGCTTGGTCCATCAAGTGCTGCTTTAACACAGACTTCTGCATCAAACTGATAGGCAAAATCACACCAAGAGGATAACATAATGGCCCCTTATGCAGGCAAGCTGCTTTGGGTAATACACGTAGTTTAAATCTGCAGAAAGCAGTAGCTCAGTATTGAAACATCTACCTGTATTTATAGTGAAGAGGAGCCATAATTAAATATTCTCTGGGCCTTCTTGTGGAACATCCTTGACTAAGATGATACGGTTGAATGCTCTGAGGCGTTTCCAGAGCTGTACATACACTTTGCATTGTACATACATGAAGACCAGACCACCTGTGAATCCAATAGCTACCACCACTAGCTTGGTCCAGAAAGGCCAGTCTAACTGCCCCTCCCTGATCTCCTCTGCAGTCCGCTCTATCAGAACCCACAGTGACCACACAACGCATGTGATTGCAATAACATGAAATGACACAGAGCACAGAATCTTACGCCGCTCACTTCTTGTCATGTCCAGAGCTTTCCACTAAAAGAACGAAAGCAATTCAGCAAAAATGGCCAAATAAAAATTTTATTTACAGAATCAAGTCAATAATGCCAAAAAAGCATAATGGTCAACAAAGATAGTCTTGCAGGATTTTACATGTATATTACTTTCATGTGATGTCAACATAATTCTAACGTGAAAACTATTGCTTGTGCATGGCATTTGTTATGGAATATCCTTGCTATCAACACATTGCAGTTTCGGCATTACATGTATTTATTTGTTTTTTTGGAGACAAAACATTGAAAGAATTGAGACACCCTGGTTCAACCTGATCTCAAAGGTTAATCAGACTGATATGCCACTCAAGTTAAAATGATAACTAATGCATTTCAAAGTAAAAAAAATACTGTCCTTGGTGCCATATTTTTCTTACTGTTGACCTTAAGGCCACCATATCAGTTCACCAAAGTGATGACTACACCAATATGGCAGGCCAATAAGACATGTAACTTCTCTTACATTCTGAATCAATAGATAGTGAAAGCTACAAAAAATACACAAAAACAAATTCAGACTTCAGAGGATTTCTCATACATAGCACTGGGTAAACTTGGCAACCCAAAAATTAACCATGTATTTCACAACAACTGTTCAGACATGTAGCAATAAGTTTTTTCTCACAATAAATTCCATTCGCCCTAAAATTGAAAATGCAGAAGAGTCAAGGCCCTGGTGATAGAATGGAACATGTAGCTCAGTGGTAAGAGCACGACATCAGTACTACATAGGTCATGGGTTCCAATTCTGTTCAAGACGATTTTTCAGGCTTTTTCTTTGCACCTGCTTAAATCTTGTGTACACTGTATGATCTTAATCAGGGGTTTCAATAATAGCCGGGTAGTGGGTAGATCTACCCGCTTATAATGAGCAGACTACATGTAACTGCTTGTAGCTGTCCTGAACACAAATAACTAAGACCGGATAATTTCCTCGCAGCTAAGGATTCTCTTCATGAAATTTGGCAAAGTAAGTCTTCTGTTATAGGTAAAGAAAAAGGAAGGTACAAGAAAAAACTTTCTAGTGTTAACCCAGCTTTCTGGACCATGAAAGATAAAGGAAAATCTAAATAAATGCATGAAAACAATCACTTCAATATGAAGTGGAAAAAACTGTGCCAGGCACTTCAGCTGAAATTGAGAGGAAACTGGGACTAAGCATGAATAGTAATGGCTGCCAAAAGGCAATCATTATTAGCATATTTCACTCCAGCCTCAAAACAAAACAGGTCGCACGAGAATGATTCTTCGCAAGGTTACTTGAGTATATTGAAAAGGACAAATTTCGGTGTTTAAACTTGAATACTATTGCTTCTTTTCATGACGAAATATGATGTATCATTCATGAATCAATTTGAATACAAAGAATTAAAATACCACGTTATCAACCTTGTCTTTCAAATTGATCTATTTCTAGGAACGACAAAGCAACATAAAAATAGACCTCAAAATGCAGGAAAATGCATCTGGAAGAGTCTAGAATTTCAAACTTTCCCCAGAGGAGCATGCCCCTGGACCCTTCAAGTTAGGAAGGCCCTCCACGCCTTCCAAGAAACTACCCACTTGTTATTCTTAACTATTCTCTGGCGCCAAAAATTATTGAAACCCCTGATCTTAACTTATTGAATCTTACACCCACAGGTCAAATGTGTGATATTTCATAAATCATTCGGGGCTGTCATTAAGTTTTAATTCACCTTTAGCCTTGATCTTCACACCCATAGCAAACTTGTTACTTTATGGGTGAATTGTGTCAACTACAGGCCAGTTCACCCGTAAAATCAAGGGTCCATCAAACATACTCAGCCGTAACAGGTGTTATGGATTACAGGTGTACGGCCCTTTTTGACAGCCCAGTTAAATGTTTATTCCTTTTTCTCATATTTTACTCTTGCTCTCTCTCTTGCTCTAGAAGTTAGAAACAGCCCAATTCCTCTGGGCTGGGCTGCTCAAAAGGGGGTTAACACTAACCCAGGATTAAAAGTAAGCCAAAGTATTGATTTTTCTTGTATAAATATATTTTTCACTGCTTATGTTTCAGTACTGGTCAAAGGGATTGCAGCATTACACGCGCATAAAGCACGTGTACTAGTAACATGTACACGCACATTACACGCAGTGTCCACACACCTTACATGTAAATACACAAAAATGCGTGTAATTACATGTACATGCGTGTAACTACACACAGTAGACGTGACATTGCATGTAAAATTACACGCAGTCATGCCTGTAAAATTACACGCAGTCGTTCAACAGGAACTCATTACATAAAAGTCTAAGAACTAAGGAACTATTTAATTGCATGAAATGAGAACAAAATATTAAAAGTGCATGTAATGAAAACAAAACATTTACAGTGAAACATTTACCACAATGAACTGCACTGTGATACAGTTTCGTCTTTCGCCTTCTTGCTTCTGGTCGTCAAATGTTTCCGATAGAAATGACTAGTTTCCTTAAACCTGCTTACTGCTTTTCAGTAAAAGTATTTTTTCTGTTGTAGTTTCAACAAGCAGTGCCTGCGACTGGCAGGCATCCTTGCATTCACTGAGATAACAGAACATAAACACATAATGTCACTTTCAATTTTAAATTACAGCAATCAGTGTACTTTAAAACAATCTGATTCATTAAAGATATTTCGTACTCCGAAGCGTTTGGAGTTTACCGGTGTTCAAAAGTTTTTCCCATTGTGTTTTCTTCTTTTCACGAGAAACAACAAGGGTGCCAGCAACTGATGAACTGAGGCTTGACGGGCACGAAATAATAGCAAAAGACATTATTTCGCTTGAGATTTTCAGTTAATTATTAACCATCAGTTATCCTTCTTTAAGTTTAAAAAGCCTTTGAAGATTTGTGACTAATATTACATACTCAGAAACGATTGTTTTTCTATCTGAAAACATATTGTTTTGAACTGATATGATTGAAATGAAATTTGATCTGTTTCTTGAATATCTTTGCCTAGCACATGACCCAAATCTACCCAGGCAGAAATCCTGTGCAGTGCAAAAGTTGTTTTAAATTAGTTATTATTTCCTGTCTTATTCCATACACATAATAAACTATACATATGCTACATGTTTCTTTGAAGACTTAACTTGACTACCGATAAGTCGAGCTCACGATATTCTCAAATGTATCTTAGCGGTAGTCAACTGTATTGTAATTTAAGCTGAATAATCGAACAAGCTGGGTGTAAACATTGCCGGTTGTTGTCAGAGGGTTACACATGGATCTGATGAATTGAAAATTAATGAACACTTAGATTTTGTTAAAAAAGTTAAGATTCTTCACCGTATAAACGCAAGTGTGGGCAATTGGCAGATTAAGAGAGTTTCTGCCTGAATCTCTATTTCATTGTTATCGAAGGAACGGGAGTTGAAATGACATTTCGTGCAGGGGTAAACATTACGTTGCGACATACGTCGTACATGTTTTAATGTACACGAAAGCTCGGAGATCTTTAACAGTTAAGTTTTTATGTTAAGCAGAAGTGCGGGCTGCTACAGATTAAGAAAGTGTATTTGTTTGATAGGTGCTCAAGCTAGTCCACTAATTTAGCAATGCTTGTTGGCTTTTAAATTTACTTTTTGTAGAGTCACGTGTTTGGAAAACAAGTTAGTATAGTGGCATTTTGTTGTGCAAAATACATGCAAATGAGTGTATGAATAACAAAGGTTTCTTCCTCCAGTTAAAATATGCGTGATCTTACACGCAATGCGTGTAACACAAATTTAATGTACCTTAAAGTTTATATTGTTCAACATGACTAACCTTTGTGATGGGCTTCATCTTGGATTCCATGCGGAACTCATATTTACACAGTTCACATTTCTTAGTGTCTGAACTCTTAATCCATCTCTGCAGACAGCTCTGATGTACATACTGCAAAGAACCAGCACACACACAAGGCGAAATCAGAGGCTGGTCCGGCTCTGCCTCACAGTGGCATATTCTACAGATCTCCATTGACGATGTCATTGAAGTCATTGATATGCTCTTCTTGGGTGGTGTTTTAGGCTTATCGTTAATGTTTTCCGTGGTTGGTATTGTTGCTTGCCCGTCTGTTGACTTTGGTTTAGAATTCTGTGAGTCATAAAAATACAGCTATCAATATGCATGTACATGTACTTGCCAAAATATGCATCCTGCTTTCCTGCAATTTAAACTGATTCACAGAAATTGATTCACTTAATGCATTGATCGACACTTTTCGAGGGCTTGCTATTGTTAGGGTTGCTACATCTACTTTCAGGATTTATTCGTGGCCAAAACTTTATGACAGTATTGGAAATTAGCACTCGCCCACTCACCAATGGGAGTCTGAAAATTGTCGGGCAAGTACAAATCATCAATCACTCGCCTGTTTGTCAAGTACGATTTTCAATTTTGGGAAATTATTAAAGCTTAAATATTGATAACACTCCTTTTTCTTTTCCATTTTGCCAAGTTCTCATTCAGAGATATTATCTCTGAATGAGAACTTACCAGTGCTTTTTCTCTTTCTTTTATTTTTTCGAGATGCCCAAACAATTTACCAATAATACGCAACATACTGTAGTGTTTCAAAAATAGACAGAATGAAATACAGCTTCCTCAAGTGATAATTAAACAACGGTACATGTACACGTGCACGAAGTGATAATGCTGGTCACTAGTTGAGCCAACAGTAAATAGTGAAGATGATACACAAGAGGCTAGGAACAAGGATGTTTGCTTGCTAAGAAACAAATCTCACGAAGATTTATCTGGAAATAGAAACTGCTTCAAAAGTTTAAGTGCCTCTGTTGTAGTTATATTTGGGTTTTAAGTCCTTTAGTACAATTTTTCATTGAAAGAAAAAAGGTCAGTCTTCCACATACTGACAGGCTGATTACTATGTCTTGATTCTAGGGATGTGTGTGAATTCAGTAGTGCCAGCTGTTCATTTAGCTGCTCTTCAGTTAACTAAACCTGTAGAAATCATCCACCGATTAGTTATCCCATAAAATCTCAATCCAGTCTGCATTAGGACTGCATTCTCCATTTCATTGAATGTAATAAAGCATAAGGCAGAAAGAGGCAGGGTTCGCACCCTTTTTCAGAAAGAGATTTCCAGGACTTTTCCAGAACTTCTCCAGGACTCAGAATGTTTTTTCCAGGACTCTAAAAGTCACATTAACTTTTTCACTCCCAAGATCTCAATGTTAATTCTCTTTACCATCTGCCATACACATCATACTTTTTTTACTTCAATTAAAGAGATTTCCAGAACTTTCCAGGACCATAAGCCTTTTTCCAGGACTTTTCAGTCCTGGAAAATGCTGCAATAAAAATCCAGGACTTTCCAGGTTTTCCAGGACCTGTACAAACCCTGAAGAGGGGACCAAAGAAATTGCACCCCCACACCCCCCTCCCAGCCCCCTCAAACCAAAAAAAGAATTATAGGAGCATCGACTTTGTAACCAATAGTTAAGACTTAGGAAAATGGACAGAAATAAATGGGGGCACGGGCCAATTCTAATCAAAAAGGAGATACACAAACAGTCAACAATGCAACTACCAAATGAAGAACAGCAAAGACTACATGCATGTATATCAATCATGTGAGAAGTGAAAAAACAAAGCTACATGAACCTGATCAAATCAAGTTTGACAACATTCTGTATCCATCTGTATTGTTCTCTGAACAGTACAGGTAATACAGGAAGTCCTCTTGTTTTCAGAGGCCTTCACCTCAAGGATGCCAAAAACAATATTATTTTACCTGCACCACTCACAGTCAGTACATAACAAAGGCATTTGTCTCCAACATTATTAAGGGCTAATGCCAGATACATGTAATGCCAAGTAGAGCTGTTTGAGAATATGTATTTTACAGAAGGCATTTTTGCCCTTTACAACTAGACTAGTCAAACCTCATCTACACTGTAACTGCGCAAGAAAATTCACATTATTAACTAACGCCTGTATTTTACGGAAGGTACTTTTGCCCTTTACATCTAGAATAGTCAAACCTCATCTAACTGCGCAAGAAAATTTATGTTATTAACTAACACCTGTCAAAATTGCATGGTCCAAAAGTACACAGTCCTAGAAGTGCACGTATTAGAGAAAGGTCACAAAGCTGAGTAGAAGCTCAGTATTTAGGACAAGGAAACATTTCTACTTCATTGCAAGTGTGTGGTCTTGAAACACCTTAGAAAGTTATGAGTGTGAAAGTACAAGTGCATGTGCCTGGGCAACATTATTATGTAATATTTATAATATCCACCCAAACTATCAAACTTATTTACAGCAATGACATTCTTGTTCTGCCATGTCTATATTACATTATGTTCTCCAAAATCAAGATTTGCTTCAGAGGAAATAAATTTTCTTCAAAGAGGTTTGGACAATGCTGACTGCCTTTTATGACCAGGCTGGACAACTGCCAAAAATGACGCGACATGATAATATTAAAGAGCACGTAAATGCTAAGGCAACAGTGGATTCTAAAGTGTGAAAATAATAATTACCAAAAACTAGCTGATAAAAATATATCTTTCAAAAGTCGAGAAAAGACAAACAGCATTATTGTTACACATATCAAAGGAAAAATGGTTTCTTCTTTAATTAACATGCATATCGCTCAACAACATCTTGTTTGCAACAGTTTGTCAGCAACACCAGACCTTGAGAACGGCGTAAAATTTATGAACTGCAGAGTAGCTTTGCCGTGAGTTAATACTTATTACACTGCACCTTTACCTGCAAAGCTAAGGTGCCAACAGCGTGTTATGATCTCTGGATATATCTGAGCATATATACGCATCAACTCTTCGTGATGCCACGACTGACTTCACAATAACAACCCCAGCAGAGCGAGGGCTAGATTCTTAAGGCCGCAAAAAACATCAAGCCTGAACATGTCACTTTGTATTGAGCACTGTAATTATTAATAACGAAAAGCAACTTCAACTCTATTAATCACACGAAAGACGGTAATGGTGCGACACATCGCTACAGTCTGAAAGTTTGTATTTTTCGACTGTACTGTATATGTCGAAAGATGACACTGCGAAATCTCCGCCAAAACACTTACGACTGGCTTAATGTTAGTTTTTTCGATGTAATTAGAAGCTTTCGAACCCGATGTTTAAAGCTAATCAACCCCAATCTGAGATCTTCCTCAATCCACAAAATCATTTACTTTTTCCGTGAAAATCACCCGAATACTTCGTACGACAACGCGTAACACGATCTACCTACATGTAAACGAACGAAACTCGTTCGTCCATAAAAGTTCCTTCCAAAGATATAGCGACCATTGCCTTAGCACTTATACTTTAAAATAAACGCGAATACATTAACCACAAGCAAACAGAGAGCTTTAACAACAGACAAACCTCGAAGAAACTAATTTTAATACCGCTCGTAGCTTGCTGCGAAAATTAAATTGTGCTGTGTAGTTTACAGGAGCAGAAGCAGCGAGCTTGCATGAAGCGAAACGTGAAACTCGCAAACTTCTTACATAATCACTTTGTTCCCTACAGCAAACTCTGTAACACAATTAAGCTTGAATTTAGTAATGAAAGCACCATGCATATTCCAACATATTTTTTGGAAATTCAATCGAGCTATCCAGTGTCCTACAAGATAAACAAACCCCAAACGCGAAAGAGAAAAAGTCGAGGCAAATTCCGTCCGCTTAACATGCTGACAGGTCGCCTTTTCTTAACTCAAATCCAACCCTTAAACTTTAATTTAAGGTGAACTTACTTTTCTATCCTTGTTGTTGGTTTGTTGAGGAGTCACTGGGTTCACGACAATCTGCTGCACGGGCATCGTTTTCGCCTCTCGGAAAACCAACATTGAACGGTCAATTTAACCTCTTCTTCAACCCAAACGCCATAAAATCCTTCGCCTGCACTCCATTGAACGTTTAGTTCTTTTCTGTTGCGGAATAAAGTGTAGAAACAGCGAGGAAAAGCGAATACAAGGTAGTAATCTCTACAACAACTGAGGTAAAACAAGATGGCGGATATGTGAACACCACTGAAAAGCTGTCAGGATCGACTGAAATAACATTGTGACGTTGAGTAAATGTGCAATGTGATTGGTCAATTCATTGATATGTT